GGAAAAAGTTCAGGTGCGATCGCTGCCGCAGCTTTTTCTTTTTTTGTTTGATTGACATGAATGCGGAGTGCTCAGTTCTGAGCACGGGGCAAAGCGTGATTGGGTTCCTTATTGACGGTTAGGTAGGTCTGGAATAAGGAGGTCAATTTAAGATTTGCCGAGCATTCGTTTTCAGTTGTGATCACAACCAAGATGGCAATGTTCATTGCCATTTTGGCTCAAGATCTTGAGCCTGCTCTCTTTTTTCTCCCACCCACCCAGCCCTGTTGGTCCAAGATCCCTGGACCGATGGGGTTGGTGGTGGGTGCCCTGTGATCCAGGTCTCCACACCTCTGGTGCCGTCGCTTGATGCCGCGACTGTCACAGGAAAATCCAGATCACCATGATGGAAAGGCTCCACTAGCCAGCAGTGATACCTGTCTGCTCTTTTCACAGCAGGCTTCCGAGATAGTATGTTTTGATGCAAATCTAGTGCGCTCTGTCCTATTGTGCCTACGATCGAGGTACTGGACATTCCGAGCCCTTCTAGTGACCAGTCTATTCAGACTGCCTTTTTTGGGTCAAAGTGTGCCGCCCGCCGTTCTGTCCGCTGACGGCAGAATTTTGACCATGGGCACTTTGAATATGGCCGATTGCAGGAAGTTGGCTCTTCTTTTTGTCAGGGTCAGAAAGAAGTGGGCAGATGAGGGAGCTCAGGACCATTTGATTTTGTTGTTCAAGCTCATACCTCTCTGCTCAGAGATCCAGATCCTTCAGCAATTTCTCAAATCCTTTCGATGACTCGATCTAACCTTTCTGCTACCCACGTCTCTCAGAAAGGAAAAAGTTCAGGTGCGATCGCTGCCGCAGCTTTTTCTTTTTTTGTTTGATTGACATGAATGCGGAGTGCTCAGTTCTGAGCACGGGGCAAAGCGTGATTGTATATTGTATTAGATGTCCATTCCTTTGGAAACTTAATTGTCCAACTTGATCGGCCCTTAGGTTGGTGGTTTAGGCAGAGTTGGCCCTTTCAGCCAGACTATTTGCTGCCGCTCAGCTTGAAAAACCTCGGCTCTGCGAGAGGGGAATGCCGGTGCCATGTGGCTTTGGCCAGGCCTAGGCCCGGAAGACGAACTAATTTTTCATCGCTACTAGTAACAAGACGCTACTCGGGGCTCCTGGCCTTACTGCTAGAAGCAAGGACGCTACTAGGGGCTCCTGGCATCGCTACAAGTCGGAAGAAGCTAGTAGGTGGAGGCCATCGCTACCAGGTTGTCCTCCAACAAACATAGAAAACCGTCACCGCTAGACCAGGGGTTGGGTCCCTAGGCCCTAGGAATTTCATCGTCAGGGAAGCTGCCGACTTCCATCCTGTCTGTTCGAAGCCGTAGTTTCATGTTTCTAATTCTTGTTCCTAATAGCAAACATTGTTCCTAGTACGGCCAGGAGCCCCTAGTAGCGTCCTTGCTCCTAGTAGCGATGCCAGGAGCCCCTAGTAGCGCCTTGTTTCATGTTGTTTATGGTGCATATTGCCATGTCAGGCGTTCTCATTCTGGCCAATGGCGCCGTGGTTTTTTGCTTAGTCTCAAGTTTACTTTTTTTCATTTAGTTTTCCTCATTCGTCACTGTGCTTCTTACAACGCTTGAAACACATTTTGTTGGCTTTGCTCTTTAAAAGCAGGCCGAAGATTCTCCAACCAAGAGCTTTACTGCACTTGCTCCACAGCATGTGGGTACCTTCTCTAGGCGAAAATGGTCATGGGCATCGCCGATGGAGAAGATTTCCAACTTGCTCGGCTTTCAGTTCGTCAAACGTGGTGCTTTTAAGGGATGTTTTAAGCCTGGCAGTTTGCAGTTTGCAGCATTAGGTGTCGACCTTCTGTTTTAAGTTCCCGGCAGCTGTTCCAGGCGGGAGCATAGGCAGGCTAGCCGGCTCTAAAGCACGCTTAGGGCTATGCTAGTCTTCAAGAAGGCCGGTTGTCACAGCCGCGAGCAGGACAGCTAGCCCCAAGCGGTCACATACATTCGCAGACCATTGCACATATCTCAGCTTTTGACAGCTTGTGCCATGGCTTCTCATTGCAACTATTGAGGTTTCTGCAGATGGCCACAAGTTTCTAGTGGTGAACTACTCGGATGTCACACAAGGTGCGGCCACAAAGTTGGAGTCTCCACTCTCGACTTGGACAAAATCGACTCATGACACTGACATCTCATGACGCAAGCTAGTAACAAGAAGCTACTAGTAACAAAGGGCATCGCTACTAGTAGCAAGTGCCTTACTATTAGTAACAAGAAGCTACTAGTAACAAAGGGCA